TTACATACCTATAATAGAAAATCGATATTTTTAAATACTTATTAGTTATTAGTTTCTTTTATGTATAATTCACTAATATAAAATAAAATAATATAATATTAATTTAAACACTAACATAATAAATAATTAAATAGAAAATACTAGAATAATGTTTTGTATATAATAAAGATGATAACAAGTGACTGACTAACAGTGTTCCCACTGTTACATATAATAAGATGTTTATTATATTTTGTTTGAGTTTAATATTTTAGTTTCATTTTAATTTTTTTAAATTAACAAGTTTGTTTGTTTATGTTTATGTTTATTTAATTTTTTTTATTTTAGTTTGTTCAAGTTTTATTGTTATTTTTATTTCTTTAAATGTATTACGTTTTATATAATAAGATGTTTATTATATTTTGTTCAAGTTTAATATTTTAATTTTTTTAAATTAACAAGTTTGTTTGTTTATGTTAATTTCATTTATTTTTATTTTAGTTTGTTCAAGTTGTATTGTTATTTTTATTTCTTTAAATATATATAATAATCATGAATTAAATTACATAAAATCAAATTTAAAACTAATAAAAATAATATTGAAAACACTATTTATTGAACACGATTAATATAATCCATAATTTCTGATCGATTATTATTACCCTCTGTGTGAAGAGCATTTCCTGCTGGAAAATGTATTAAGTCATTGGCGTTATAAAGTTCATCATATTCTTCATCTTCATAAGCGGCATCAAAATTTTCTATACAAATATTGTGGAGAACTGCACAGGCATTTATAATTTTACTTGCAATTGTTGGTTTATAATGCAACATTCTTTGTTTGCAAAGGCATCTCCAGCGACCTTTCAACATACCAATAGCTCGTTCCACAACTGATCTAGCTGAAGTGAATTTAACATTAAACCTACTTTCTGGGCTTCCATCTCCTGGATTACTGAAAGGTGTAAGTAACCAAGGCTCTAATGGATAACCACTATCACCTAAAAGCCATTCATGATCACGCCTGTATGTGTTACTTAAATGGTTTCTAATTAACGACATTTTCCAAATGTGAGAATCGTGTGTGGATCCAGGGAACTTAGCATTTACATTCAGTATACGGTAGGTATGATCAACTATCTATAAATAATACAATTTTTTTAAATTAATTAATTCATTCAAATAAAAAGCTTACAGTAAATAATGCCAAGTTTTACAATACTCAGAAATAATTACTTACCAACTGGGTATTGATGGAATGAAACCCTTTCCGATTTACATATACAAATTCAGGGTACTGATTATGATTGGTTGAAGGAGGGAATATACCAATGTGTGAGCCATCGATTACTCCAATTACTCCAGGAATATGGAATCGTGTACGAAACCTGTATATCAATGAATTATAATATAAGTATAATATTTAATTTCTAATTAAAACCATACCAGTCCTTGATTTTTTGTTTTTCCGCAGGAGATGTTGGAAATTTAATATACTTCTGAAGTAGATGCAAATTAATACAATCAATAACTTCATTCAAAACTCTACTCACTGAAGGTTGGGATAAGCCAATGTTAGTTTCTTTACCCACGCCTCTTTGGTAAGCACCTTGAGCAAGAAATCGAACAGCAGAACTAATCTAAAAAAATAAAATAATGAAAATATAAATTTCACCAGCAACACTAATTTGAATGCCCTAAATAAGTTTTCTTACTTTGGATTCTACTGATATTCCATCACTTCTACGATTTATCTTCAAGAATGGTGTCAGTTCTTGAATAATACGTTCTAATGTAGCCTTATTCATTCGATATGATTTCCGAAATTCAATATCTGGTAAATTATATATACTTCGGCTACGACTTAAGAGTCTTTCTATTTTAAGGGTAGCACACAATGTTCTCTGCTCTTGATTGTATTGTATTTCTCGAACTTCTTCATCCAGCAACAATCGAATATTAAATTGTAAATTATTATTCATTGTACATGTATAGGTAATAAAATGACGACTAAATTGTACTTTTAACCACTACAGTCTACAAGCTATATTACAATTATTTATGTTATAATATAATGAATAAATATTAAGATTATTCTACGAAATAAAAGTAAGGTTTCGTCGTAGGTGCATAAAGAAACATATTTTACACATTGAAATATAAATATTATCAATAAATAACAAACTAATTGATAACGAAATCCTAATATATATAACATATCACGCTATACGCGCTCAAAACGACAGATTTTTCATGTCGTTTTCGGCGTAATAATTGGAGTCCATTCTGCCGCGTCTGCCGAACACGCCGTAATGGAATAGCAATACGCCTTACATTCGCTTTGGTAATTACGCGCATTACGTATAGTACGACGATCACGCGTTAGCGGAATCGGCCCCCAGAATACCACGGTTTAAGATATACTGGTTACACAACTCCTATATTAAATTGCTTATAGCAGATGGACCGTTCAATATGTTTTGTGATAAGGCACAGTTAAGAAAATATAACTTTTGTCATAGTAAAATAGATATTTTTTTCCTAAATTACCTTTGTTAATTATTTCCTTTGTTTCAAAGGCAGATGAAAAAAATTAAAAATCCTTAGTCACAGTTTTTATTTATAAGCATTTAAGGTTCAAATTTTGACAAAATACGGAAAAATCACGAAAATTAGCAAATTATTTAACGTATTTAGTAAACGTATTTTTTAACTCCACTGATAACGACTATCTCAGTAGACGGTACGCTCCATCGAGGATATGGCCGTGAGCGTATAATATTACGTTAATAATAATAGTCACAATACGGGCTATTTAGTGTGACATTTCCAAAAAATAATCGGTTGGTTAGAGACGCTCGTATTATTTGCTAACCTTAATTTTTTTCTATGACTGACGTGTTTTCGGCTTTGTGCTGAATTCTGATTGCGTTTTTTTGTTTTAATATTTTGTTTAATGTAATTTTATTTAACCAGTAAACGGTGTAAAGCTAAATTTTTTTCATGGAATATAACCGGTACCCGGCCGCCCATTTTACCTTAAAATCTATTAATGTTGAGGAATCTGAAGAACTAGATTGAATATCATGGCAAGACGATGATGTGCTGACCACATCGAATTCGGTATGATTTGTTTGGCCATTACTGTCACAGTTGCTTCCAAAACTTCTGTCTGATGAAAGATCTGCTTCACTAGCTGCTTCCACTAAGAAATGAGTAATATTGAATAATCGTTTTTGAGGAATCAACAAGGAAATGTTATTAAAATATGTACATATATATGAAACTAAATATTTTCTAAAAAAGAATTAAAGAATTAGTTTTATATAATAATTACAAAATTAAATTGCGCAATATTTATTTGTTTTGTATGTCATAATTAACCACCCAGCTCCCTAAAAAATGTAAAATGAAAAGTAATAACTACTTGTAGTTTTTTATTGATCACTATGTACACTCTCGGTGGCATCTGAATCATCAGTCTTTGAGTCAGAAGACTCAAAAGTATAGTTGTAAATGTACCTAGTTCGTTTGCCTCCCCAAGACACATCTTTTTCGTCTTCCAAATCTATTCTCAGAATCATAAAAAAAAAGTCACAATTATACAACCCAATAATTAAAACAATATTTGGTACTGGTTTGTTATAGCCCCGCCACGGCTATACCCAATATTTACATACCATTACAAGTAATTTCACCAAATTTCCTTTTGATTGACATTTATTTGATTTTCTCCACAATTTTTTAGCACATGAGTAACAATAATAAATGTGTCCAATTTTTCCGTGGTTAATGCAATTTTCAATAAGTGAATACTGGTTGAACTGTATATGAGTAAATATTTTTGCAATTTAGTTCATTTGGTCTGGTCTGTCTTATGGTTTATTGCATTCATACGATTTCAGAACTTACTTTAGATCAATTGCACAAATGTTATCCATTTCTTTTAGTGACATGGCTCTCCATTGTGCTTTCATTGAGTAACGGTTTATCCAAATTTATTTTCATCAGCAACAGTGCATTATTGTTGTGTGGTTTCTCCACTAACTAGGTAGGGTAAAACAGTGGATTAGAGCTAATGGCGACACCACTTAAAAAAAAATGCGCCATGTGCAATGGCCCCACACTAGGGCGGTGTGGAACTATTGCAAAAAACTTGTACACTGCCAATTTGAAAATATATGCAATATTGTATGTTATATTATCAATATTATTTTTTTTATAAACATGATAAAAATGTATTAATATTTCTATTTAATGTGCAATGTTATTTTAGATATAAATTAAACAATTTAAGTATTTAGAGAAAAAAAGAGAAAGTTTAAACTATGCCCAAAAATTCTTTGAATTGTTTTAATAAGTTTAAGACTCACCTAAAAACTGTAATATATTAAGTACCTACTACCTAGTTACTCTCTATTAGTCTATCAATGTTATGTGCCTACTCTTGGAGTACTTGCTTATGTCCAACTACCTTATTTACCAATTTCACTATTAATTAATCTACTTAATATAATATACATATGCCTGGTTCATATTATAGTATAACTGTATACTGTTTCACACAATGCAAACCATATACAAAAAAGGTGGGCAAGTGTTCTGTACTTTTCCATGGTTTTCGTTTCTTATGCATTATTTGCATAGCTATTAAAGCCTTGGAATTTACCGATGGAAACTTGGTTTCTTCAAAAAATTGGTTGAGATCTATTTTTTTTTTGTTTAATTTTTTTTTTAATGAATAGATTGTTGATCTTTTTTGTTTTAATAACTTTCTATAACGATATAACTGTTCTTTCAGCAATTTATTTTTAGTAATTAATTTTTCTGAAGTGTATTTTCTATTATCTAAATTTGATGATTTTTGAGGACTTGGAAGTTGAATAAGTTCAGATACCCATGATTTGGTATTTGGAGTAATAGATAGCGTAGGACTGTTGTTATATACAGAGAAGTTGTCAACAGAAATGTTATTAGTTGTGTTGCTGTTTCTTCCGTAATTATACTTCGGTGTTAAAACATTCAATTCAGTAGGCGATATAGAGGTATGAGTATTACCAGTATTAGAATCTAGATAAAAACAAATCTTGTTAAATAATTTAGGTTATATCTAAAGTTGGTGCATTCGGGAGGTCAATGTTTAAATTTCTCAATAGTTTTCAAAAGTGCAAGGAAAAACAAAACAAAAATTAAGGAAAAACGTATACATGAAAATGTACAAGTTAGTTTGAGTTAGAAATTCATAATTTTTTTTCCTTGTAAATCTAAGATTAGAAAATGTAATACAAAATTTCTTATAAGTTTGTCTACGTTTATCATAAAACAAAAATTTCTACTGGAAAGTAAACTTAAATTTTTAAGTATTTAAAGTACTTAAAGTGTTTGAAGTTCAAATTTTTACAACATTGGATACTCGATATTTTCTTAGCACAATTTTTTTTTACAAGCATCCCACACAACAATTATCAATCAATACGATTGTATAAATATTCAAAATAGATTGCAGTTTAAATATTTAAAATAAAATATGTGTACATCATTGAATAAATATATATATTTTTTAATGGTAATCGAAATATTTAATACTGATTAATAAACATTTAAATAATAATATTTTTTTTTCAATCAACATTTTGGATTACAGGAACTTTTAATTGTAATGCATATTAAATATATTTTAATAATAATTTATTGAATGTTGGCGTATCATAATTTATTCAATATATATATTTAAAATGTAATTTTTATTTATTTTTCATTAATTCAAAAAATTTTAACTTGTAGTAAAAATATATTTAAATAATATTAATAATAAATATTAAAAAGGTTGGCAAATGGTTGCATCACATTGTAGTCGTATTAGTATAGTCTGTCAGTCTACTGCAGAGTGCAGATACTGTAGTAGATTGTGCATACTACATGATACTGCATAGGTACTAC